TATATATATACTGCTCATAAAAATAAAGGGAACACTTAAACAACGCATGCTAACTCCTGATCTTAATCAATGAAATATTTGCAGAGTTGAATGTGCTTCACAAAAGTTTGATTTACTTGGACTTAGCGTGCGTTGTTTAAGTGTTCCCTTTATTTTTTGAGCAGTGTACAATATATATWTTTTCAGTACTTGTTTGATGCCAGTTTAAAAAAACTGACAAATCGTTTAGATTGTGATGTGTGTTATAGCATTTTTTTATTCCATCAAGAAAAAGCCATCTTCACTTACCAATTTCTTATGGTTAAAATTGGGTTTTAGCTTTAAAGCAAGACATAATTCAGTGGAAGTTTATGAGGAAAARATGATCATAAATCTCATCAGTATGTAGATGAAAATGTCCTAACATCTGTAAAAGTGACCCACAGAAAAAACTAGGGATGTCCCGATCCAGATTTTTTGGCTCCCGATAGAATCTGATTTTTTTTTTAATGATCAGTCTTTCTGATATCGATCCGATAGCTTTATTACTTTATTTCTTTCCAAGTGGCAAGGTTGGTGGTATTAAAGCGAGCCCTGCTGTTCCCACCACGAGAAACATCCAGTTTGCAGATTTTTCAAGATGCAGTTTCAGCATCGTTGTTTTCCATTGAAAAGTGTTCCCACACTGTGGACATGGTTGCATACTTGTGTGCGTCTTGACTTCTTAACGGCAGTTGTAAATCATGATGATGCTGAAAACTGGATCGGCCCGATCACAGGAATAAATCCGAATCTACCCGATTTTCAAAAAATGGCCATATCTGCCACCGATATCGATACTGGGTGTCTGATCGGGACATCCCTATAAAAAAACAGTAATTTCCTTTATAATTATCAGAATTTATCTTTCAAATGTGTCTTTTCAAAAACATAGGTTGGATAATTTAAAAAGGAGTAAAATAAATGTATTTATAATCCGTGTGAAACCTCTGAGCCTGCTGTAAYGTGCAGAAAGCCCAGCAGTAATTATTCACGTACTGAGATTATCTTTTGGAAGCACAGCGAAGTAAAACAGATTAAATTTTAACAAGTTCCCATCATAAAGTTGTGTTTTCTACTAAACACCTAATATTAAGTCTGATTATTGTTTTCTGAGGTTAGAATGATTTCTATTCTGTTTGTTTTCTCAGGTGGATTAAGGAGTGCAGCCCGCGGAGGTCTCGCTGGTTTAGCTTTATCTGGTGCCTACGCTCTCTACAACAACTGGGGCCACCTCACCGGCTCCTCCTCCTCCTCCTCCTCCTCCAGGATGTACTGAACTCTCCCTCGCTGCGTTTTGAAACTTCAGGGCCAAATATTCAAAGAACACGACCTTTAACCACAGCGCTAAGAGACTCTGGTCAAAAGCAGTGTTCTTTTCGAGGAGTCGGTCCCGTTTCCTGCCACGGCCACTCACCCACATGCATTCTGGGAGTTGACAGATGTTCATAAAGTAAGCTCAGAGGAGCAAACTAAATTCCTCCTGAAATCCAGACTGTCCTGTAACGTCTGTTTATCTGAGGTGTTCTGTCTCTGATCTGTTAAATAAGGATCTGATAGAAAGGTCTGACATGTATTTTTTTATTAGTTTATGTGGATTCTGATTCTGGACAGGAAGACTGTCACGGCCCGTAAACATGGAGCGAAGTCTGTCGACTCTATTTATTGAAAGTTGATGTCTTCAGTGGTTTTTCTAGCTCTGAGCTAGAAGATCTCACTGGAAAACTGTACTGGAAGTTATTATAATTATGTTAAGTTTCTCCATCAAATCCGCTGTACGATCAACTGAAATAAAAATGGAAAATGTACWTTTGGTTTTGCTTTTAATCCGTTTTATTGCAGACATAAATGGACGTAGAGGGTCAGTGTACACTGCTGCGCTCCACAAGGATAGAAAACTTGCTGCACATTCAGAACATGTATTTACAGAAGGATGTAGAACAGAAAGCTTCTAAAGAGGGCGGAGCTTCTGTTCCTGGTTCAGGTGAGCTCTTCAGTGCAGGAAGAAGTCCCTGATGCGCGTGGCCTCRATCCAGGGGATGTAGGCGGTGGTGCGGGTGAAGACGCTGGGTTTGTTCTCCACGGTGCAGCCGATGGGGCCGAAGCTCACCACGCCGTGCACCTCCCAGCGGTCCTGGCCCAGCTGGCACAGCAGAGGACCGCCGGAGTCGCCCTGAAAGAAGAGGAGCGGTGAAGAGGCGGCCCGGCGGGAACACGTTGACTGTAAGTAAACGGGGCCTACCTGACAGGCGGCTGGGGGGTCCTCGGTGTCCCTGAACCCGGCACAGATCATGGAGTCCCGCACGCGGTTGCCCCAGAATTTCTTCTGCCGGCAGGTTTTGAAGTCGATGATGGGCAGACGGGCTTGATTCAGAGCTTCTGCCAGCGAGACGTTCTCCTTCCCACCTGGACCACGAACACAGACGTAAATAAATTAAACCGCCTTCAAGCATCTGACAGGAAATGTAAACATTTTTTGTTTTTATCTAGTTCTTTAGATGCCATTTTTACTATTTTGTTTCCTGTTGTTCCCTTTTATTGTTTCAGTAATTTCCTTTTTGATTTGTTGAATTTTATTTTTGCTTTGGCACCAGATTATACCTACGTACACACACAGCACCACTTTCCAAACTGTTACAGACATTTATTTGTCTGAATCATTATAAAGCAGAGGTTCTCAAACTAGGGTCCCAGGACCCCCAGGGATCCACGAGAGGTATCTTGGGGGTCCTCAAAAATTTTTACTAAACTGTTAGTTTGGTTTTTATTTTTAAAAATTCATGTAGAACAATGAACTAATAAAACAAACATAATAAACTTAATAGAAATATACACTCACCGGCCACTTTATTAGGTACACCATGCT